GTTTACATGCTCCCAGTGGACATACACAGAGCAGGACTGACACAGTTTACATGCTCCCAGTGGACATACACAGAGCAGGACTGACACAGTTTACAGGCTCCCAAGTGGATACACACAGAGCAGGACTGACACACAGTCCACAGGCTCTCAAGTGGACATACACAGAGCAGGACTGACACAGTTTACAGGCTCCTAAGTGGACACACACCGAGTAGGACTGACATACAGTCCACAGGCTCCCAAGTGGACACACACAGAGCAGGACCGACATAGTCCACGGGTTCTTAACTGCTATGGTTAGCAGACTGTAATGACCAAAGAGGAGTCTGATCTCTTGCTTACTGCAGTAACCTGACATCTGGTGTAAAGTTTTATCCTTACAATCCTCTGTAGGCTCCCTTGTCAGTTTCACAGGGCTGGCACTGCCCTACTGGTTTTGTAGTTTATTTTTTAGATTTATGTGCCCAGGGGTCATTGGACAATGAGTAGGTCTCTTAAATGTACCTTATTTATTACTCTTTCCCTTTTCTGGACCAAATTTGCCCTTTTTTGCCTTATAAACCAAACTGTGGGTCACCAAAGATAATTCCATCACCAGATTTGCTCAAAGAAGTCTGATACTTAGAACATTGATACGTGAGTGTGTGTGTATATATGCTGTATGTACACAGGCACAGATACAAAAACATTAAAAATTATTTTGTCCAGGGGACCACTCAGTATCAATGATGGCTGTAGTCACGGCAGATGTTAGGAAGCGAACAGGTGAAAAAGAGTCCCTTGTACTTCAGAAAGCGTATTTTCTTCGTCTTTCTTTTGCTTCATCATATAAAAACACTACCATTTTATGTGACCCAGCCTTGAAAACAGCTAACACACACACACACACACACACACACACACAAAGAGTACTCTTGCACATGAAGAAGATGCTAAGTGTACCATTTGCTGGGGTCAATCAAGTCCACATGAGAATCCTATGGACAAGCTCTGCATTTCCTGAGATGGCATGCATACCCACAAGCTAATAAGCAGCACAGGGATAACATCTGACCTAATTTTTTATTAATGAAAAGAAAATGTTCCCTCTTTCAGATCTACAGCATATTTGGAGAGGCTTCCCTGGAAGGGGCTCCTGAAACCAGCCAATCAGCAGCACTCACCATAACTTCAGTGTTCCTGAGCACATTCTGATATCCTGCTGGATGAAGGACAATGCCACTAGGGTTGGTGTAGACCCCATGGATGTGCAGCACACTCAGTTTCCTCTTCTCCTGAGCCCACTCGAGGACCTGCACAACACACACAGAGCCCAACCAGGTTGGCAGGGCTGAGCACCTGCTAAGGGTCACGATGGGCAAGAGGCCACTTTGAGGACTAGACTTCTGGCATAATTTCCAGCATCATGACAACACAGGTCATGAACACAAAACCTGATGTGGTCTAAGTTTCCATTTCAAGAACGATGGCAGCAAGTCTGGTAATTTCTCACTGAAAGTAACAATCAAAAATTAGAATTTGCCATTTGGGTACAGAAGTTTATGTCTGTAATTCCAGTATTCTGGGAGGCCAAGGCAAGAAGATCGTTTTAGCCCAGAGGTTTGAGGCTTCTGTGAGCTATGATGATGCCATGGCACTCTAGCATGGGAGACAGAGTGAGACTGTCTCAAGAAAAAAAAAAAAGGCTCAGTGCCTACAGCTTAGTGGCTAGGGTACCAGCCACATACAACTGAGCTGGCGGGTTAGAACCCAGCCTGGGCCAGTTAAAACAACAACTGCAACAAAAAAATAGCCAGGTGTTGTGGCAGATGCCTGTAGTCCCAGCCACTTGGGAAGTTGAGGCAAGACAATCACTTAAACCCGAGACTTTGAGGTTGCTGTCAGGTATGATGCCCCGGTATTCTACCAAGGGCAACAAAGTGAGATTTTGTCTCAAAGAAAAAGAAATTAAATAAATAAGTTAGGGACAATACAAACCCTCTGCACTGGTGACATACGAAAGAAATACGGACAACTGTCCTAGAAAAGGAAAAAAAAAATCAAATTTTTATCAGGTCTTCAGGGCCTTTCATAGTGATTCCAGGTTGGCCACATGGCTTGTTTTAGACAATATGGCATTAGCAAAAACAACATAAGCAGAAGCTTAACAACTGCTAGCACAGGGATCTTTTTCTTTTTTGTTGCTTTGGGAGCTCAGTTGTGACAAGAAGCCTGGACTGGCCTGCTAGAGATAATACATGGCCCAGACAACTGCCAGCATCTATGCACAGGGAGTGAGATCCTCCTGTACCACCCAGCCCTAGCCCGGCCAGCAGATGGAAGGCTACAGCCATGTCAGCAGGCCGCAAAACCACAACTGTCCTGCTGAGCAGTGGAGCCCAGCTCAACTTGTTAATTCACTTTATCCTGGGCAAATAAAATGTTTGTTGTTATAAGCCACAATGATCCAGGGTGGTTTCTTGTGCAGTAATAGATAAATGATAGAACCACCACTTCAGTCACCTCGGAGGAACGTAAGAGTTTGCCCATGAAGAACAACCATTTATGATAGTGACTGCACTAGCCACCTGATCCAATGGCTCTATTTTCCTTAGACTTGATATACTACAAATTTGTTCTTGCCACATTTTGATAGAGTTATGTATTAGGAAGAAGAGGCACAGAGATTTAGAATTTGAGTATTAATAGGCCCCGTTCTCATTACAAGTAAACGGCTTTAACCATTAGACTTTGTATATGTGCTGCTGAAGAGAGCACAACCATTAGAATTCGATAGTGCTCCTGATGTGGGCTAAAGCTACTGAGTAAATCTTAAGGCTCAAGGCTGAAATGAATGGGAAAATACTAACTTTAGCTTTGAAAAGAGCCTTATACTTCTGATGCCTACAAACACTTGGTTGTAATCTTTGGTGATTGTATCACAGAAACAGCACCGAAGCTATTCAAGCCAGTCATTTTAAAATTTCCTTTAGTCATTTATAAATTCCAAAAATATTTATGCAAGGCTGGGTACGGTGGATTGCCAGAGCTTGGGAGTTTGAGACCAGCCTGAGCAAGAGCAAGACCCCGACTCTACTAAAAATAGAAAAACTAGCTGGGTGTGGGTACCTGTAGTCCCAGCTACTCAGGAGGCTGAAACAGGAAGATTGCACAAACCCAGGAGTTTGAGGTTGCTGTGATGATGATGCCATGGCACTCTACCCTAGGTGACAGTGAGACTCTGTCTCAAAAAAATACAAAAGAAAACAAAAATTAATGGAGCATCTACTGTGTGCCAGCTAGTATCCAAGCTATGAATAAAAACAGGTGACAAAGAATCTGTCCAGATGGACCTACTATTCCTGTGGAATTTAGAGTCAGAAAATAAACAGATGAAGAGGCAAGATAAAAACTTCAAGTTAGGCTCGGCGCCTATAGCTCAACCGGCTAAGGCTCCAGCCACGTACACCTAAGGTGGCGGGTTCGAATCCCCAGCCCGGACCCGCCAAACAACAATGACGGCTGCAACCAAAAAATAGCCGGGCGCTGTGGCG